GGAGGTGGGGTTTTAGGCGGAGGAGGTGGAGACGGACGAAGGGGAAGGTCGTCGGCCTGGTGGATGTCGTTTGTGGGTTTGATTGTCTGGAGGAAGAAGATGATGAACAGTGCGATTTTTTTGTTTTTCTTTTGTGAGGAAGAATAGTTACGGCTGATGACAAAGAAATTAATCACGTTTAGGTTTCACACCATGCGTTAAGCAAATTAATTTCATTCATCAATGATCTCATATTCTGATTACAGAGCCTTTAAGTAAGCAATTACAAATTTAGAAAATCTCATCAATCCCTCAAATCTCTCTTAATCAGTTACAATCAATCATAACCAATCACTGATTAACTACCAAAGAAACTAAATATTCAAAAATTCGAAATTCAAATTCAAATTAATTATTACATCTAAACTCAAAACCACAGTGCTGAAATATTGCGCCTCCTGCGCTGATAAACTCGGCGAAAATCTCGTGTATGAGTCCGGATGTCCCCATCAACATATGCATGCATTTATTCCAACATGTACTCAATTATACGACATATGTGTTAATTTAAAACACTTGTCAAAGGCTTCCTGGATGTATAGCTTACATTTCACATCCGTTTCTTGAAACTAGTTAAATAAGGGTCGGGCTCGTTTCAGTCCAAACCCAAGTTTAAAACTATATAGTTAATGGGTCATTTGGATGTCTAGTAAAAAAATGAGTAGTCTCCAATTTATGATATCAATATGATAAAAAAACTTAAAAATGTAATTGGAATTTTAATTCTAATAACACATGAAGCAGAAAAAAATTATCTCATATACATTATTAATGCAATATATATATATATATATATATATATATATATATATAGATAGCCGTGTCCCTGTATCCTACAATTTACAGTTTTGCCATGTCCTGTACCCTCACCCGCACTCGTACATGTACCCATACCCATTTCATGCAACTTAGCCACTAGGTTTCAGGTATTTTCATGCATACATTGTTGTTTTGAAAGAGGCTTTCTTTCACTGGTAAGCGCAAAGCTTCCTACACTATAATAGTATTATAATAGAAATATTTACTGCTATTATGTCTGCAGGCCTCTCTTCTTCCACTTCACTAATTTTCTGCTCTAATATTTCCAAACATGAACCATACTAATTTACTCACTGTAAGATGTAAAGAAGATTGGTATGCTTAGATGACAGATCCGAAGGCAGACCGATTAAAAAAAATACTTGTCTGTTCTTTTACACTGGAGAGATTCAAATTTCATGACAATTACTAGTCCTTAAAAGGGATAAAAGATGAAGTCAACAACAGTATTGTAGAATACACAGGCAAGCAATACGTTTCTTTTAAAGAATGGATAAAACAGACAAGTGCAAGAAGAAATCACATGGAGATGGTTTAATGAGAAAGATAGATGACGAAAAGATCATAGACATTAAAAAGAGAGAAGAATAATTGTCCACAATTTGTTTAGTAATGCAAGCGGCTGAATTACTGTGGACAGAAGTCCGGACCTAGTACAAGTACCAGCGTTGTAGAACGATATAAACTACAACATCAGCCAATGCTAATGACAGGTAAGCTTTAATGTACTCGAATCAAATCCCAATTATAGCAATATTTAGCAAAAACAAGCACCATTGATCTATACATCTTTTTACACCGCATCATGTGTACTAATCAGATGAGCAAGGTAACAAGGATAGGCAACGCAAGCACGATTAATTAGGTTACCTCCGATCATTTTTCTTGTCGGCTTCTGTGATCCTTGGAGCCGGCTCATAATCAATTTGATAATCCCCCTTCCCCCTGTTGAAAAATACCAATAATTTTCTCATTTTTTTTAGTGATCCATATCATGCATTTTGAAGAACAGAATCAGAATGTTAGAAACAAATTACACATCAGCTACGCTTGAATGGATAAATTTTAGTTAAGATTCATCGGCAAAAGCCGCCGGAAATCCTAACCTTTCCCCCCAAATTTTACTAATCACAGTAAATATTAAGGCAACAGAATTGCGAAAAAGTTCATAAACGTTACAACATTTTACCTAGCATCACCCTTTCCTAAAACATCATCAGGGTATTTCCTCCTGTACTGCTGCTGCCATCGAAGCCTGCAAAAAGCCGACGTCAAAATCAAAACTTTCTTACAGAAAAATAATCGAAAACGCCATAAATTACTGAAGAGAGGACTTTGGATTGAGGGGGGGAATTACGAGAATTCTTGGAACGCGTAGACCACGGGGTCGATTTTGGGGATGACAACTGGCAGGCGTTCGAAGAGAACGGAGGCGACGACGTCTTCGGGGGTCGAAGAGGAAAAGTTTCGATGAGATCGAAGAGGTCGGAGGAGAGTGTGAGCCGATCTCTGCATCACTTCTTCTGCGTTCCTTCGCCCTGTGTTCGCAAAAACCTCGTAAAACCCTAACAAGTAGGAAGCCCACGAGCAGGGCTGGGAATAGGCCAGTAGGTCGTGTCGGCCCAATTTAGCCCAACAAGTTAGGCTTAATTACCAATTCTCTCACGCCCTTTATATTTATAAATACCCTAACCCCTGAAAAGATATACCTAACTATCCTAAGTTTTCCGTCGTTTTGAAAAACTTATTTTGACAAACCCATCCATCCATAGAAATAAATGTAAAATTTAATAAGAAGATGGAGTGTAAGTATAGTGATAAATATAACAACAAATAGGAATATTCCAAGTAATATTCTCACGCACAACTAACAGAAGGCATTAACGCGTTATTTTTTACAACTTGGGATATTAAATTGCTACTTTTTTACAACTTAGAGTATTAAATTGTTATTTTTTATAAATTAGAATATTTTAAGTGCAAATGTGGTGAAACAATAGAGTGTTTAAGTGTCATTTAGCCCAAAATCAAAAGGATACATTGCACTTTGGTCTCATAAAGTTGTCGCGTTTTTTAACTTTGATTGATGTCATAAAGTTTATATTTGACCGTTTATGTTTGTGACATAAAGTTTCATTTTGAATTAGATAATTTACACTTTAGTGTCATAAAGTTTAAGTTTAAATGGGTTTTTTCGATGTTAGTCACTTAAATCTCTCATATTTTGAAATTAATTTCTTAAATCACTAAAATTGCTATCAAGTTCTTTAAATTTTACATTATTTTTGTAAATTGTCCCTCAAATTATTGAAATTGCTATGCTTCCCACAGTTTTAGGTAATTTTGAAATTAGTCCCTACAATCAAAAGTAGAAATAGAAATTGGAGATATTAATTTGATACGCCTTATGAGAATTTGAGAACCTAGTAGCAATTTTAATAATTTAGAAAGCTAATTTTTCTCTAATTGCTAGTTTTCATGTTTGATGTGAAGGACCGGTTTCAAAATAATCTAAGAACTGAGGGAATAGCAACTTCAACGATTTAAGAGACTGATTTCAAAATAACCTTAAGATTTGAAGCATCTAATAGCAATTTTATGATTTGAGGGAATAATTTCAAAATATGAAAGATTTAGACAAAAAAACCAACCTAGAAAAGAAGCTCCTGGGCATTAAAATGTTAAAAAATATATACTTTGTGACATCAATGTTGAAGAAGGTGACAATTTTAGGTCACCAAAGCACAAATTATCTAAAACAAAATTATAAACTATTATTCAAGGCAAGTTCAACAAAAAATAAGCTCGTCAGTTTAGTCTTCTCCGTACATATATCGTTAAACTAGAGATCCCTTTGCCTCATGCTCTTCACTTTTGCATCTTTCATGCACATAAAGCATAAATTTTCCTTCATCTGCACGTTTCCCATTTCCTTTCGTCTAGATTTACAGTATCTTTAACAAAGTCCTAACTTTTGATCCTTAATAGCGAATTGTACCTAATAACAGCAAACAATAAGTTTTCCATGCAATTTATCCTCAGTATTCATCTTTTTTGCATGCTTACTTGTGTAAGTTAAAAAGAAACGGACAAAGTTGGGCCCGCGAGGAAATTAAGGAGAGTTGATCAACCTGTCTCCATACTCAAGATGTAAATTAACTATGACCAAGTGAATCTTGTGCACTAAACGAACTAATCTACTTTTTTTGAAGCGGAAAACAGGGTGAGATACCCTGTTCAAATATATATTTATATAGAATAAAGTCTCGTATATACAAAATAACCATAAAAACTATACAAAAGTAGAGAGGATAGGAACCAAAGAAGATGTTATCGGAGGGGAGCGGACCCTAGTCGTCACCCTCCAGATAACAGTTGCAGCGATTCCTAGCCTACCAGAGATCACAAAACAATAAAAAGTATAACAGATGATGGAAAGGTTGCCAGAAAATAACCACCAGATAGATAACACGGCAGCCATCACCAAGCTTCTAACGGAAACTATAAGCTAAGCCTACTAGTACACTATAACAGAAGAGCAGTGTATCTCCAGGAGTAAGAGAAAAGTACACACATCTGAGAATAAGACCACTGGATCTAGGAACTAAAAGAAATGATAGCTGGAAGTGGAAGTTTCTGCCAAAAGCTAGTCTCCTTGAGCAAAGTTTTCCCTAAGAACTTCTTCATCGTTAGCTTTGGCCATGTCATGCAGGCCTAATTCAACTGCAGTCATGTGGAGATGCTGGGCTTTTCTGCTGCTAGAGGCTCATGTCCAGAATAATGTAAAACGAGCTATGTTAGAGGCAATAGATAGAGGAGTAACAAGAGTATTGTTGAAAATGAGGTTATTTTGACTGCTCCAGATACACCAATAGAGGTACGGAAATAAGACCCTCCATAACATTCTTTGATTGAGGTTATCCATGAATATATCCTTATCAGAAATCATACTTAATACCTCCTTTGGCCATTGACTGAGATTAGAAGAAGGGAAGACGATGGACCAGGCTGCTGAAGATAATGAGCATGAAAAGAAGAGATGGTCATGAGTCTTCATGTCGTGGTTGCAAAAAGGGCAAGATGGATCACCTCTCCAACCCTTTTTAAGCAGGTTATCTTTAGTTTGGAGTTTCTTCTTACCCAGGATCCAAAGGAAGATTTTGACATTTAATGGAACAGGGGAATACCAAATAAAATTATGAAGGGGAGAGACACTGCCACCATTATTGAGAAGAGGGTAGAAGGATTTCACAGTGAAAGAGTTTTTTGAGTTGAATGGCCACTGAACAGGGTCTTGCCTGTTTGTAGAAGGCATGACTTGGTCAATAAGCAAATGAAGGTTAGCTATGTCCCTTCTGTCTTCTTTAGTGATACCTCTTCTAAGAATTGGTTTCCATCTCCAGTGATTTTGATGTCATACACCCAGGGAGAAAACAGAACTTGAGGGAGAAAATGCCAATCTAAAAGCCTTGGGAAAAAGACTGCATAGGGAATTGTCTCATGTCCATTTGTCTGTCCAAAATTTGTAAGTCTTACCAGAACCAATAACCCATCTTACAAAGTTAAATAAGGTTGGGTGAATAGAATATAAATCATGGATGAACCTAGATGCATAACTCTTAGGGGGGTTGGAGATGGGATTAGAATTGTTTGAAGAGTAGATAGAGAAGATAACTTTACTAATGAGATTCTCCCTGTCCAAAATTTTCCATATCAACTTAGAAAGGAGAGCTTGATTGAAGTTGTGCATGTTAATGATCCCTAACCCACCTGCATGTTTGTCCTTACAAACATTTTCCCACTTAACCAGGTTTTTGTCTTTGTAGTACTGAGGGTTACCTCCCCAAAGAAAATTTCTCCTGATTTTGTCGATGGCTTGGATAACCCAACAAGGAAGTTTGAAAAAGGACATGTAGTATAAGGGGATGGATGATAGAACATAGTTTATAAGAGTGAGTCTACCTCCAATTGATAGGGGTATATTTAACCATATATCTATTTAATTATTTTTCCAATATGAAAATTAAAGATTATCTCATGTCATTTTGCTAGTCAATGTTGGATAGCAGGTACCTAATATGTTTTCTATTTTTTTTGGTAACAGGTTATTGGTATTCCTAATCTGTTTTGGTAACATGATTTCAAATCTGTTTTGTTAACAGGTTATTAGAATTTCTAATCTGTTTTGTTTTTTATTTTAGAATTCCTAGTATGTTTATGATTTTAGGATTTCTATATATATAGAACAATTGGAAGAGAGAATTGAGAAGATAATTGGGGATATTTGGAGCACAGAAAAGAGATATTTTCTGAGCTATTTGTTAGGGTTTTGTTTGGAGAGAATTAGAGATTTGTTGGTGAGATTAATTTGTGAGTTTGAGTGATTTATAATCTCACTTTGTACTCCTCTTCTCTATTAGTGAAAAACCATATCTCCTTCTTGCCCTGTGGACATAGGTAACTTGCCGAACCACGTTAAAATTGGTTGTTTATGTTTGTGGCATTGATTTGGTTCGTTTGGTCTTCTCTCGACGTTTGTTTGATATGATTTCTCATAGCATGTTGGTTTGGTTGTTTGGCTTCCACAGTGCTCAACAAGTGGTATCAGAGCTCGGGCTACGCTTGGGCTATTTGGAGGAGTATGTCGTTTTGGAGGCTCGCCTAAGGCTTCGTTTGGTGATAAAGGTGAGATCTTTTTAGAGGCTGAGTCTATCTTTTTTAGTTTTGGATCTATTCTTTATTTGTTCCGTATTTATTTTGGTGCTTTGAGAAAGATGGTTGGGAAAGAAGGAGTTGTGGATGGTACTTCCGACGTGAAGACCGTCCAAAGTTTGAATATCCACTCTATGAAGATAGATGTGAAAAAGTTTAATGGCACAAATAATTTTGGTCTTTGGAGATGTAAAGTCTTGGATGCGCTCAATGCGCAAAATTTGAAAGATACTTTAGAGTTGGACGGGAAACCGGACGACATTGAGGAGAAGGTTTGGAAAAAGATGAATAGAACGGTATGTGGTGTGATTAGATCTTATTTGACTCAAGATTTAAAATACGATGTGATCAATGAGACTTCGGATAAGAAGATTTGAGAGATTCTAGAGGGCAAGTATTTGACTAAGAGTGTAGAGAACCGCTTGTATTTGAAGAGGAGGCTTTATCTCTTCCAATTGAAGAAGAGGACCTCCATTGGTGATCAAATGAACCACTACACAAAGCTCTTGCGGATTTGGCGAATGTAGATGTGATGGTTAAAGATGAGGACAAGGCGTTGTTGTTGTTGAGTTCTTTGCCTGACGAGAAATATGAAACCTTCATTCTTACTCTTATTAATGAGAAGACATCTCTTTCTTATAATGAGGTCACCGCTGCACTTATGAATTATCAGCTTCAAAAGAAGGATAAGGAGACTTCAGTTGATCCAGTAACGAGGGCATTGGTCGCAAGAGCAAAGAGTTTAAACCGTGGTAGGAGGTCGCAGTATAGAGGGGCACATCTTGGAGTTCGTAGGAATCAGTGTGGTTTTTGTAAAGATGATGAATATTAGAAAGCCAAATGCCCAAAGTTGGTTGATCGAGC